TTCAGGCCATCTGGGTGTATACGTGCAAATCATAGGGGATGCAATGGCTTGGCTTGGGCTCAGAGGCCTGACACCAGGGATGATGGTGGCAGAGTTCTCCAGGTCTTTCATCGCTTCTCCTTTTTCCATGATGACTTCATTCTCTCAGATGACTATGGTTTGAATGAGTCCACTCCATAATTCAGGTGTTGAAACTTAATGGCTAATGTGATAGTATTAGAGATAGGACCTATAAGAGGTGAATAGGCCATGAAGTTTCTTTCTTATAAATGAAGGCTCTTATAAAAGAGGCTTCATGTGGCTCCCTTGCCCTTCTGTCTTCTGCCATGTGAGGACACACAATTCCTCTTCTCTGGAGGATTCAGCAACAAGGCATCATTTTGGAATCATGGAGCAGCCCTCACCAGACAAGCAAATTTGCAAGTACCTTGATCTTGGACTTCCCAGCCTTCAAAACCGTGAGAAAATGTTTCTGTGCTTAATAAATCACCCAGTCTCAGATATTTTGTTGTAGCAGCACAAAGAGACTAAGACAACAGGTCTCTTCATGTGTAAGAGATATTGCCATCAATGGCTCCTGGCCTTGAACATCATAGAAAGTCTGAGAACTTCTTTCCTTGAACCCAAAGTAAAAAAAACTCAACTGGTTAGGAGAATTATTTCCAGAACAGTGATGCTCTTATGAGTATGTATAATAATAGATGTCCATTATCTTGGCCATTCCTTTTTGATCTCTTTCCTATGTCTACCTCCTATATCCTGGTGTTTACCAGGTATGTTAGTTGGGATTGGGTATAGCAGAGAATAACGAAAAAAAAAAAAAAAAAAGTGACATTGACTTGAACAAGATAATTGTTTAGCTGTCATACAAATGTCCAGATATTTGCAGTCCAGAGCTGATATGGCATCTCCACTTCAGGAAGTCCTCAGGATCACAGGTCTTTCTCTAGTTTGGATGTTTGTACCCTCCAAATCTCATGTTGAAATTTGATCCCAAGTGGTGGAGGTAGGACCTAATTGGAGGTGTTTGGGTCATGGGAGTGGGTCACTTATGAATAGATTAATGCCTTCCCTGCAAGGTGGGGAGACTGAATGAGTTCTCACTCTATTAGCTTCCATGAGAGCTGGTTGATAGAAAGCCTGGTTCCTCCCCTACCTCCCCCTCTAGCTTCCTCTCTTCCCATGTGGTCTCTGCACATGCTGCCTCCCCTATACCTTCTGACGTGAGTGGAAGCAGCCTGAGGCTTTCACCAGATGCCCAGTCTCCCGGAGAGCAGAATTATGAGCCAAATGATTTTTATCTTTATAAATTCCCAGTGTCAGCTATTCCTTTATAGGAACACAAATGGACTAAGACAGTCCTCTTCTAATTAACTGCCCTACAATTCCTTGGGATTGATCCTCATCCTTGTGAATCAAGGCAACATCTAAGTTCCAGGGAGCAAGATGGAAGAAAGACAGAGAAAAAGAATAAATAAAGGGCATAAATCTACCTCATAAGGGAATTTTCAGGAAGCTGACACTAGCATTCCTTTAGCCTGAACATGGTCATACCTAGCAGCAAGGGAGCCTGGGAAATGTAGTCTTTACTCTGCAGCCCATGTGCTTAGCTAAAAATTCTATTACTATGGGAGAAGGAAAAAAAATTGACATAAGGTGGCAAAAAGAAATCATTGCTACTCCAGGGATTATCCTAGGCCCACTGGTTCTTAGTGTACTCTTTCTTGTTGATCTGATTCATACTCAGGGTTTCCATTTTCACTTGTGTATTAATGACTTCTGATTGTCTCTGTTGAGCTTGGATATCTCCCCAAACTTCAGATTCATATATCCAAATGTTTATTGAATGCCAGGGTATTATCAGGCACATCAAACTCAACATGACCCAAACTGGCATCTTTCCCACCAAAATTAGGGCCTCCAGCTTAAAATATCTGATAACCATTAAGTGTAGACTGTAGACCACCCCAGAGTTTTTGGTGGAGAGGAATTATAATACAGTCATAGTGAAGAGGCTGATGTGTTGGAATTGGCCAGACCTGTGTTCAAATCTGGTTCTGCTTCTCGTTCACTATGAGACTTGAGGTGAATTCCTGTAGTAGTTGGCTATGGTTATGGTAATAAACTTTCACCAACTAGGTGACTTAAACAATAGAAATTTATTGTTTCCCAGTTCTAGTGGCTAGAATTCCAAGGTCAAGGTGTCAGCAGCATGGTTCTTTCTGAGGGCTGTGAGGAAGAATTTGTTCCATGCCTCTCTCCCAGTTTCTGGTGGTGTGCTGGCAGTGTTTCGCATTCTTTGGCCTGCAGATGCATCACCTTAATCTCTGCTATCATATTCCCTGTGTGCATGTGTCCTTGTGTGTGAATGTCTGCTTTTTATAAGGAGACTAGTCATATTGAATTAATGCCCACCCTAATAACATAATTTTAACTTGATTACCTCTATAAAGACCCTACCTTCATTTTGAGATACTGGGGTTAGGACTTTAACATAGGAATTTTGGGGAGACCCAATTCAACCCATAACAACTACTTAACCTATCCTTGGAGGATAATAAGATAAAACATAATAAGAATGATGAGAAGGAGGCTGGGTGCAGTGGCTCACATCTGTAATCCCGGCACTTTGGGAGGCCAAGATGGGAGGATCACTTGACACCAGGAGTTTGAGACCAACCTGGGCAATATAGCAAAATCCTGCCTCTTAAAAAAAAGGAAAAAGAAAATTATCTGGGCATGATGGCACATGCCTGTAGTCCCAGCTACTTGGAGGTGAGGTGGGAGGGTCATTTGATTCCAGGAGTTCAAGGCTGCTGTGAGTTATGATCATGTCACCATGCTCTAGCCTGAGCAACAGAGAGAGACCCTGACACTAAAACCACCAAAACCAACCAACCAACCAACCAACCAACTAACCAACCAATCAAACAAAAAAAGAATGCTGATAATGAGATCTATATTTCAGAGTTATTGTAAGGATCATGATATTGTAAGTGAATCTTCCAGGCACAAAGTTGGTGTTTAGTAAACGCCAGTTTCCTTCTGTCTAACTGTAGACTTAACCGTAATTTTGAGGCTCCTGGAGGAAAAAAGAAAATGTTTCATAGTACAAAACTAGAAGATGAAACTATAGTGAACATTTATTATCCTCTTTGGTAGCCCAGCTCCTGGACCCCTTTCCCATGTTTGGTGTGTTTTCTACCTAATGAGTTTTGAAGGAAGTGAAGGCTGTTATTTACCTCTGAAAGCTAAAAATACCAGTTCCCTGTTCATCTCAGGTCCCAGGGTGACTTGGAGTCTCTCTGTGTAGTCTTCAAGTCTGGTTTTCTAGCCCCCCTCTCCTCCTAGAGATTCTGTGAACTATAAATATCCTTAAATAACTTTCTCTCCTGCTTAAATCACTTAGAGTTGGTTTCCGATGCGACTAAAAACATCAACTGATATGAGGTCCAAAAGATGGAATTTTAAGCACCAAAGACTGCTCCCTTATGGGCAAAGTCTCAATAGGACATCTGCATGTCAGTTGAGATTCTGCTTTCCCCTTAGATGATAGAATTATTGGCAACCAGTTAAGTTGACGCAATTGGAAACCAGAAACATGATCAACAAAGATATGGAGATGGAGATACCAGTCACCCCTATCAAAGTGGCAAGTGGGAGGGGGATGCTGGTTGGTTTGTCGGAGCTGACAAAGAAATGGGACTGGAATGTTTCTTTTACCAATTGTGTAAACACAGCCTGGAGTTCCGTGATGAGTCCATCTCACTTGCTCAGAACTTTGCCTGGCGAAAGTGGTTACAAGTGAACAAGGTGGAAATGAAAGAAACCCTGACTTTCCCACCAGGAAGGAAGAGACCGTTTCTTCTTGTGATGTACTCTGAAGAAAAATTCTAGGATTTGGACAGATTTCTTGGGTTATAAAACATGATTTTCTTCTCTGTTTCTTGGGCTTTTATAATGGGTACTGTTGTTTTCTTTCAAAGCTTTAATGATTCCATAAGGACTTGTATAAAGTTTATGGGAGAATTTTCAGTGTAGATGTGAATGGCAGAAACCCAAGAATCTGTGTGAGGTTGAATAAGATCCTGTGTCTCCAGAGAGGTCTGGTGGGGAGACACAGATCTAAATTTTAAAGGTGGTTTGGGCCTTCTCAATCATATATTAACGTCCTTTTATATTATACCTAAATAAATTAAAGCCCAGAAAGATTAATAAACCAAGGTCCCAAGACCTGCTTGAGACCTGTGCCCCATTCCTGACTAATATTCTTTATGATATTATATCACTCTGTATCAAAACCAACCAACCAATAAAACCAACCAACCAACAGAAAACATTCAGGAGAGTGAAAATGCCGTCTGTGCAGACAGATTTTCCTTATTTCAGGAAATGGTTGGAGTCAGTGCATTTGAAGTTCAATGAGTGAGCCTTATCCTAAAAAAGCTGCTTCCAGGCCTGGTATGTTCCCTGAAACATAAGGACATTCCTCATTCAAGGCTGTTTGCAAAGATCTAAATGAAGGCTGTTATTAAACAAACAAAACCTCAACCTTTCACTAATGTCAGAAATCAGAAAATGAATTACCTAGGTATTGTCTACTGACTAGCTCGCACTATGCAGGTATGAGTATCAGAGTTCTTCTCTGCTCTGTAAGTTATAATCCTCCAGGCTCTTTAGCCTAGGGGTAAAAAATGCAGTCCTTGCTGGGCACGGAGGCTCACGCCTGTAATTCCAGCACTTTGGGAGGCCTAAGTGGGCAGATCATGAGGTCATGAGTTCGAAACCATCCTGGCCAATATGGTGAAACCCTGTCTCTACTAAAAATACAAAAATTAGCCAGGTGTAGTGGTGCATGCCTGTAGCCCCGGCTACTCGGGAGGCTGAGGCAGAAGAATTGCTTGAACCCAGGAGGTGGAGGTTGCAGTGAGCCGAGATCCTGTGACTGCACTCCAGCCTGGGTGACCAAAAAAAAAAAAAAAAAAATGCAGTCCTCTTACCTAGCAATAGTCCTCTTCTCGCTCTGCTTCCACTTCCCCTGTTGTGATGACAGTCCTTGGCAGTGGTGTTGATAGGTGTCCCCTAGTCTGGTCCTCTTATCTGTACCCTCAAGCCCCCCATCTCCAAATTCCTGCTCTAAGACTTCAGCTTGTTACCAGGTGCTTCCTGCTGATATCAGCATGGCTGCTGGTACCCGCCAGCATCTGTGCTAAGGTGGCCAGTGCCCAGTGCTGATAGCTTTCCTATCTGTGCCAAGGGTACTGCTTCCAGTAGCAGCCAGCCCCATTTTGGAGTCATCACTGGTTGTGGTGACTAAGCTTCTGGAACCCAGGCTAGGGTATCTTAGGCAATAGTTTTGGTTGGCTTCCTTCAAAAGCCATTGCAGCCCCCTTGGCCCAACTCACTTGATCCTCATTTAGACCTGGGACCTTGTAGGTTACCAATTGAAGGACAATCTTGAAGACAGACATTTGATGGTGCTCATATCATCCCTCAACCTCTTTGTCTTGACACCAAACTGGGTTGCCTTAAACAAAGGTGTTCAATCTTTTGGCTTCCCTGGGCCACACTGGAAGAAGAATTTTACGTTTGGCCTTGGGACAAACATAAAATACACTACCACTAACAGTGGCTTATGAGCTAAAAAAAAAAAAAAAAAAAAAAAAAAAAAAAAATCACAAAAAGCCTCATAATGTTTTAAGAAAGTTTATGAATTTGTGTTGGGCCACATTCAAAGCCATCCTGGCTGCATGTGGCCTGGGGGCTGCGGGTTGGACAAGCTTGCTCTAGAATGATCCAATTCTTATTTGCTGGGGGACTTTCAGCACACAGCTTACCATTCTAGGTCTTATTTTCTTATCTGTAAAATGAAAATAATACTTGACTCTTTGGGTGGTTTTGAAAATTAAATGAGATCAAATGTGCCATGTGACAGGCGTGGAGTAAATATTCGGTGAGCACAAGTTATTCCTAGGAAAGTCCTCAGCCCCTTAACCAGCTTTCAAAACACATCTAACTCCTAGAATCATTTTACCGTTTTTTACGTATTTGTTTGCACTTATTGCACACCTTCTGTGAGCCAGGGATAGTGCTGAGTGCCTGCCATTCACTATTTCATTTATTTCTCACAGCGGCTCTGTAAGATAGGTATACTAAAGCCTTGTGTTAAGGATGAGTAAGGTGAAATCCATTGAGATCAAGTGGACTTGCCCAAGGACATCCCTCTCTCAAGTGGTAAAGTTAGAGTTTGAACCCAGAACAAACAAATTACAAAGCTTTGACTTTAACTGCCCTGATATATTATCATTCCAAGGTGAAAATAGCTGAGTCTCAAGCTAGTCCCTTGCAGCGAGGTTCTTGTTTTATGTGTGTGTGTGTGTGTGTGTGTGTGTGTGTGTGTGTGTGTGTGTGTCTGTTTGGACAATTATTACTGGTGAAAATTCTGAAATGCCATAACCAAGAAATCTCCAAAGTCAGGGCTGCGGTCCTTTAGCTGTCTGGTGTGTTCTGTTTGTTTGTCCAGGAATGCTGGGACCTGGGTGCCTCTCTCATTCCCTGATTCAAGCTGGGAAAGGGATGTGGCCCTGGGAGAAAGGGTGTTCTTTCTTTACGCTTTCACAAGACTGGCCTGGGCCCTTCCCTTTTATATCAAAGGTACCACACCTTATTTTAAGACTTCTAAAAAACTTTATAGAGACACAATGTTGTTTTTGTTTATTAATTGTCATGCTTTGATTTGTTTGTTTGTTTTGAGACAAGGTCTTACTCTTTTGCCCTGGCTGGAGTGCAGTGACACTATTAGTGCTCATGGCACCTTGGAGTTCCTGGGCTCAAGCGATCCTCCTGCCTCAGCCTCTGGAGTGGCTGGGACTACAGATGAGTGCCACCATGCTTGGCTGATTTTTAAACTTTTTTGTAGAGATGGGGTCTCATGTGCCTAGGGCTGGTCTCAAACTCCTGGGCTTAAGTGATCTTCTCACTTTGGCCTCCCAAAGTGCTGGAATTACAGGCATGAGCCACCACATCTGGAGAGTATTTTTTATTTTTGATACTTTTTTGTTTTCATATATGTTCTGACTTACAGAAAAGTTGCAAGAATAGTAGCAGACATTCCCATATAACCTGCTCTCAAATTCACCAATTGTTCACATTTTGTCCCATTTGTTTTTTCTTTTTCACTCACTTGCTCTCTCTGCATTTTTTCTAAGCCATTAAAAAGTTAGTTGATGCCTGTAATTCCAGCTACTCGGGAGGCTGAGGGGGGAGTCTCACTTAAGCCCAGGAGTTTGAGTCCAGGCTGGAAACATAGTGAGACCCCATCTCTTAAAAAAAAGTAAGTTGAAGCCTTTATGCCCCCTTATTCTCAAATACTTCAGTGTATGTTTCCTAAGGACAACCATACAACCATAGTAGTTATCAAAATAAAAAAAATTTTACACTTGATACTAGACTGTTATCTAATGTATAGTTCATATTCAATTTTTTTTCAATTATCACAATAATGTCCATTACAGATGTTTTCTGGGTCCAAAAACCACTTCAGGAATACATACTGCTTTAAATTATCATGTTTCTTTAATTTCCTTTAATCTGGAACAGTTTCTCAGCCTTTCTTTCTTATTTTTTTAGACAGAGCCTCGCCCTGTCACCCAGGCTGGAGTGCAATGGTGCGATCTCAGCTCACTGCAACCTCCACCTCCTGGATTCAAGCAATTCTCCTGCCTCAGCCTCCCAAGTAGCTGGGATTACAGGTGTCCACCACCATGCCCAGCTAATTTTTTGTATCTTTAGTAGAGACAGGGTTTCACCATGTTGGTCAAGCTGGTCTTGAACTCCTGACTTCATGATCTGCCCGCCCCGGCCCCCAAAATGCTGGGATTACAGGCGTGAGCCACCGTGCCCCGCCATCTTTGTATTTTTTTATCTTGACATTTTCAAGATTAAGACCAATTACATGGTATAGCATACCTAAATTTGGACTTGTCTATTATTTTCTCATGATAAGATGCAGGTTCTATATTTTTGACAGAAATTCCATTGAAATGATATTGTGTCCTTCCCAGTGCATCATATCAGTGGACACAGGATGTTAGTTTGCTCTAGTATTGGTGAGATTAGCTTTGGTTTCTTGTTTTTTCTCTACCATAAAGTTACTGTTTTGGACTGGGCATATTGGCTCATTCTTGTAATCTCAGCACTTTGAGAGGCTGAAGTGGGAGGATCACTTGAGTCTAGGAGTTCAAGACCAGTCTGAGCAACAAAGTGAGACCTCATCGCTACAGAAAAATTTAAAAATCAGCTGGGCATGGTGGTGTGCACCTTTAGTTCCAGCTACTGAGGAGTCTGAGGTGGAAGGATCTCTTGAGCCTAGGAGTTTAAGGCTGCAATGAACCATGATCATGCCACTGCATTCCAGCCTGGGCGACAGAGCAAGACTGTCTCAAAAAATAAATAAATAAAGTTACCATTTTTCCCTTGTAATTCATACATAATTTGTGATAGTCCTTTTTTGTTTGAACTTTTTCATCTGTGCCAAAATGTCCACAGCAGCTCTAACATTAGACCTAAAGCAGGAACTGAGCTGGTTCTAAAAGAAAATCCCAGTCTCCTTCTCAGCCAAATGTCTTCTTTCTCTCCTTTATTTTCTCAGTGTTTTTTTTTGTTTTTTGTTTTTTTTTTTTTTTGAGATGGAGTCTCTCTCTGTCGCCCAGGCTGGGGTGGCATGATCTCAGCTCACTGCAACCTCCGCCTCCTTGGTTGAAGCGATTTTCCTGCCTCAGTCTCCCAAGTAGTTGGGATTACAGGCACCCACCACCACGTCCGGCTAATTTTCTGTGTTTTTAGTAGAGATGGGGTTTTGTCATGTTGACCAGGCTGGTCTCAAACGCCTGACCTCGGCCGGGCACAGTGGCTCACACCTGTAATCCCAGCACTTTGGGAAGCCGAGGCGGGAGGATCACCTGAGGTGGGGAGTTCAAGACTAGCCTGACCAACATGGAGAAACCCCGACTCTACTAAAAATACAAAATTAGCCAGAGTGGTGGCACATGTCTATTATCCCAGCTACTCAAGAGAGGCTGAGGCAGGAGAGTCGCTTGAACCTGGGAGGCCGAGGTTGCAGTGAGCCAAGATCGCGCCATTGCACTCCAGCTTGGGCAACAAGAGTGAAACTCCATCTCAAAAAAAAAAAAAAAAAAACCAACAACAACAACAACAAAAAACCCAGAACAACAACAACAAAAATGCTTGACCTCAAGTGATCCATCTTGGCCTCCCAAAGTGCTGGGATTATAGGCGTGAACCACTGCACCTGGTCTATTTTCTCACTTTTTAATTGAGGTATTACATACACACATCTTTTTTTTTCTCTCTCTCTCTAAGACGGAGTTTCACTCTTGTTGCCCAGGCTGGAGTGCAATGGCGCAACCTTGGCTCACTGCAACCTCTGCCTCTAGAGTTCAAGTGATTCTCCCACCTCAGCTTCCCGAATAACTGGGATTTAGGCACGTGACACCACACCCAGCTAATTTTTGTATTTTTAGTAGAGACAGGGTTTCGCCATGTTGGCCAGGCTGGTCTCAAACTCCCAACCTCAGGTGATCTGCCCACCTCGGCCTCCCAAAGTGCTGGGATTACAGGCATGAGCTACCATGCCCAGCCATACACACATCTTATGTTTGTACAAATCTGAAGTGTACAGCTTAAAGAACTTCTGCATAGGTATATGACCCTGGAACCACCACCCAAATCCAAGATACAGACTATTTCCAGCTTCCTAGCTGACTTCCTTGTGTACAAAAATTAGCTGGATGTGGTGGTGCACAACTGTAGTCCCAGCCTCACTCAAGAGGCTAAGTAAGGCGGGATAATCACTTGAACCCTGGAGATGGAGGTTACAGTGATCTGAGATTACACCACTGCATTCCAGCCTGGGTGACAGAGTGAGACCTGTCTCAAAAATAAATAAATAAATAAATAAATAAATAAATAAATAAATAAAGTTGGCTGGGCACAGTGGCTCATGCCTGTAATCCTAGCACTTTGAGAGACTGAGGTGTGCAGATCACTTAAGGTCAGGAGTTCAAAACCAGCCTGGCTAACATGGTGAAACCCCATCTCTACTAAAAATACAAAAAAATTAGCCATGTGTGGTGGCAGGTGCCTGTAATCCCAGCTACTCGGGAGGCTGAGGCAGGAGAATCACTTGAATCTGGGAGGTGGAAGTTACCGTGAGCTGAGATCATGCCATTGCACTCCAGCCTGGGCGAGAGAGCAAGACTCTATCTCAAAATATAATTATATAAATAAATAAATAAAGCTACTATCAACATTTTTTTCTACACTTTTATGTACACAAGTACTCATTTCTGTTGGATATCCAGGATGAAATTACTGGGTCCCCATCCTCTTTCCTTCACTGATGAACTTCTTGAAAGTATGGCCTATCTTTTTACTGTTGCTACATCCTCATTTTCCATGGATTTCTCATCAAATTGTGC